CCCACGCGAGGCCCTGCGAGGCCTCGGAAGAGACCTCGAGAAGCCATCTTCCGATGCGTCCGATCCCAGGCCCGGGCACTTTTTTGGGTTCGATTTACCCGCGGGCGATCGTCGGAACATTAGCTCCTGCACGTAGCCGACGCGCGACGAGGGGGCCCGGAAGGGACCGCACAGGGCACGAGGGACGGCACCCCGGGACCCCGGAAGCGCCGACCGAGGTCGACGGCGACAACAATGGGTGCGGTTCGCGAAGGGTGCGGTTTGCCTCCCGTCATATCTGCACCTCCCGCCCCCGGGAAGCTGGTGACACAGTCACTCAACGCGACCGAATCACATGACACTGTCGCTCCTTCTAGTACAGTGGAGCACACATCGAGGATGACAATGTCGCTGGAAACGACGACACAAGAGACAATGCCTCTCACAAAGGCCCCGGAAAGGCCGCCACAAAGCAACTCGCAAACCGCACACCGGCGTAACCGCACCGATTGTAGTCGCCGAGCGGCACCCTGGGACCCGGGCAGCGCCGACCGAAGGCCAGGAGCGACAGCACGGGGGCACGAGACCACGAGGGCATGGTGGCAGAGGGGGTCGCACGGCGCTGGCTCCGCCCCCCCTGGGCGCTCGCACCGGGGGTGCTGTGCTCTCAAGGCTGGCTCCCTGCGCGGCCCTTCTCAGCGAGCTCCGCACGAGTGACCCTCGACCCGGCCCGACGACCGCGCCTGACCCATGCGTCACGCACAAAATTGTTTGGTCGGCGGGTCGGGAGCGGGCCCCTTCCGGTCAAGAGCTAAACGGGACGCGGGTAGCCCTAATCAGGGAGACAGGGCGCGGGCGGGCGGGGCCTCAGGCGGCCGGAGGGCTCAGAAAACAGGCGGTGACGCATCACGCACAGAAGGACCACGTAACGAGCCAGGCACATCGCCGCCGATGCCGCCAGGATGGCTTCACGTGGCCTCCAAGACGGCCCAATGGTACCCAAGAGGCTTCCCGTACGACCAGGATGTGCCCAAGACGGCTCCGAGAGGCAGTCGCCGCGGTCTCCTCGGCAGTCTTCGGCGCAGCCGGGGACCCTCCAACAGGCCCAACACAGTGAACGCCTTCTGCATGTGTGTATGGCGTACTCGCGCTTCCTTGCTTGAGAAATCTCCGACGGCCCAAGAGGGGCACAAGACACAAGACCTCCCCACCTAGACCCAACACGGCGCTATATTACTTTGAACGGGTCCCAAGCCAGCCCAGAAAGGCCCCCAATACGGCCTCCGAAGGCGCCACAGAGTCTGAGACAGCCAACGGGAGCCGCAAGATGGGGCAAGACAGCCTCAGTACGTCCCCAAGAAGGACCGCAACTGACAATGATAAGAATAATTCGCCGGCCCAACGGGCCGGGCCAGAGGCGTGCTAAGATCTCCGGTAACTGGTTAACAATTCTCTAGTTCGCACGCGCGGGGCGGCCCCTGGGGGTCCCTGGACGAAAAATACCCTGGCGGGCCCCGTCTGAAGATCCCCAGTCGACTCCGACCTAAGCGCTCCATTAGCACCAACGGGCTCCGAACGTCCCCCGAGAGCCCCAAAGAAAGGCCAGAGGCCCCCAAGGAGGCCCCCACGATGGTTACACGAGGGGGTCCGACATGCCACAAGACGGCTCACAAAGAACGCCAAGATAGCCCCCAGAACGCCCCCGAGCCCCCAGACATCCCCAGAGGGCCCAGAGGCAAATTTCAATTGCTTTTTCCTTAGGTTTGTTTGAGAGACTTTGGAGCTTCCACCTTTTCGGCTTCCCGACGCCCCAAGACGGCCCAAGAGGCCCCCAAGATCGCCCCAAGAGGGCCCAAGAGGCCCCCAAGAGGGCCCCAAGATGGCCCAAGAGGGCTCGAAGACGGCCCAAGAAGCCTCCAAGTCGGTCCAAAAGGGCCCCAAGAACGCCCCCAAAGGGGCCCCAGAGAGGGAACACGAAACAACATTTCGAGCCCTCGGCCCTAAGAAGCCCCCACGAGGCCCCAAGAGGCCCCTAAGAGGCCCCAAGAGGCCCCCACGAGGCCTTCAGGAGGCCCCCAAGAGTCCCCCAAGCGGCCCCAGGAGGCCCCCCAAATGCCCCCCCGAGCACGCAAGCAAGTGCAAGCGATGCTACAATGTGCTCTCCTTTCGGTAGACTCCCAACGGGGCCCCTACAGACTTGCAACAAGCGTCAAGACCCTGCCCAAAAAGCACTGTCCAGGAGCGTTCACAAGTGCCGCGAAGAAGCCCTCCTTACGCCGGAAAGCCCGGAAAGCCGGGTGGGGTGAGCTGTTCTTCTCACCACCGCGCCCTCTCACACAATGGCTTCCGCACGCCGCCCAGAGCGCGACGATCGGCTCATGCCCCCAGAACGCTCCAGGAGCGCGCCAAAACGGCACCGGAACGCCCCCGAAACAATCCAAGCGGCCTCAAGTCGCCGAACAATCGTTCCAAATCGCCCAAGATGACCTCAAAATTGCCGTCGAGGCCGCCAATAAGCCCCAAGAGAGCCTCAAGAGGCCCTCCAAGACGGCCATTACAATCAAAAATCGTCCCATTCCCAGAGGAACATGTACACTTCCCGCATGAACGGCGTTTCGAATTTCACAGCGCCTCAGACTACGCAAATAGCCCCCAACATCGCCCCGAGACAGCCCAACAATCCGCTAAAATCGGCCCAAGACGGCCCAAGATAACCCCAAGACGGCACAAGAGAGCACCAAGACCGCCCAAGAGGAGCCCAAAAGGGCATTCTGCCCCTAGGAGCACCTCAGAAGCCCCCAACATCCCGCCAATAAGTCCCCCATGACGCCCCAAGAACCATCCAAGAAGCCCAACAAGAAGCCCCAACGACCCCCAAACGGCCCTTACGGGGCCTCAAGAGGCTTCAACACTGCCTCCAAGAGGTTCCCGAGACGCCTGGCAAAATAACCCCCAAAGCGCCGCATTGACATCAGGCCCTCGGGCAAACGGCAGACATGAGACCTGTGTAATTTGTCCGGCGAATGATCGAACGCTCGATAATCCGCCGGCCACCTTGTGGGGCCACCAGGCTGTAGGACCGTGATTCGCAGTTTCCTGTACCAGTCGTAGGTTGTAGTTTCCAGTGTTACAGTTCTGCTTCTTGCTGGTTACTGTAACTAGTTGACTTCTTGCTGGTTACTGTAACTAGTTGATTGACCGCGCGAGGGGGGGGGAGGCCCAAACGGGATTTTTAGCACCCCCTGGGCGCGTTGTCTGAATTGCTGGGGGGGCGTGAAATGAACACCCCTCACGCAGATCCGCGGGGTCAGGGTCCAAAAACACAAGGGATTTGCCACATTTCTGAAATTCAGTGCCACCCCTCACGCAGATCCGCGGGGTCAGGGTCCAAAAACACATGGGATTTGCCACATTTCTGAAATTCGGTGCCACCCCTCACGCAGATCCGCGGGGTCAGGGTCCAAAAACATTGGGGATTTGCCACATTTCTGAAATTCGGTGCCACCCCTCATGCAGATCCGCGGGGTCAGGGTCCAAAAACGCATGGGATTTGCCACATTTCTGAAATTCGGTGCCACCCCTCACGCAGATCCGCGGGGTCAGGGTCCAAAAACACATGGGATTTGCCACATTTCTGAATATTCGGTGGCCCACACCTTCACAGCAGCTCCGGGTCCCGCGGTTCCCCCCCCTCCCCAATAGGGTGGGGTCCCCCCACCCCCCCCCCCCCCCAAACATAAGGGATTTGCCACATTTCTGAAATTCGGTGCCACCCCTCACGCAGATCCGCGGGGTCAGGGTCCAAAAACACAGGGGATTTGCCACATTTCTGAAATTCGGTGCCACCCCTCACGCACATCAATCGCAAGGCGTGGTAACCCAAACTGCGAGTACTCCCTCGGCCCTTTAATCCCAAGGTGTGGTAACCAAGCTCGTAAACCATACACGTCTTACCAATCGCCCTGTGTGGTAACCCCTCTTGTGATCAGTTGGTTTTTGCCGATTGCGAATCGGCCTCGCATGAAGTTCCGATACTGCTGCACGACAGCGCCAAAGCCTCATGACTTAGCTCTTCCATGGCCCATTCTCCGAGAGAGGGGGTCGGCGGCAGGGGGCGAAGCCCTTACGGATAATCATGATAACAATAATCATGATAATGATATATATGTACACAATAACAATCATAAGAAGGAAGCTAGAATCCATCCAAGGGGCGTATGTTATCAAACAGCTGCGGGATAATGCAATCCTTTGCATTGGCCGCACGGTTGCTCGACACTCCGCGAAGCATGCGTTTCCAAAAAGCATGTGGCGGCGGTGGCTCGGCACAAACGTCTACGAGATGGAGGTAATATTGATCCGTGCTCTGCAACGTTACAAGGATGGACAGCTAGAAACGCGGGACACCCCATCGGGATGCATAAGGCAACGAATCCAGTCTGGGCGGGCTGAGGATCCCCAACGGTGATGGAGAAGTCGAGGGTGACCGCTCCAGACACATGCTGTACAGCGCTGGGTCTGCACCTGCTGGCCAACTGGCTGGGGGCACGACCACAATCGAAGCAGGCCGCGATCGCGCCTGCGGAACGCTCCTTCTGTGCACGAGGAGTGTCTACGTCGCAGCGCGGACAGGGGTGCGCACGCGCTCTCGGGCGAGCCGGGCGACGGCCCTGCGAACTGTCCAGACGCACGAGGGGGGGGCGGGGGAACGAGAGGAGCGACCGCGGGAGGCGGGGAAGGCACGAATCTACGCATGAGGAACAGTGTTGTGGACGTCGGCGAATGGAGAGGAAGCGTGCTGCCAAATAATTTTTCCAGATGTCTAAAACATATGGTGAACATGTAAAAAATGTGAAGAAACCTGTTTAAAACATGTCTAGAATATGTTTCCGACATTTTAAGCACATGTTGAACTCAATGATAGGACTGTTAGGGAGTCCACTGTCGTGGCATCCACAAGAGTAGCGCCGTCCAGTACGTTCGATGCCGTCCTCCCTGCCATCCTCCACTGGGGCGGGAGC